ACATTTTATTTTATTCCTTGGTAGACATCCACTTATAAAGGAAAAAAATGTATAAAGAAAATGGGACCAACTATGTTAAGTATCATTGCTTCAAGGTGGAGATATTATGAGAAAAATGTTCTTCATTCTTTTTTTTGTTTGTTTTTGAGTTGGAGTCTCACTCTGTCGCTCAGACTGGAGTGCAGTGGCCGCTCCCGGCCACCGCAGCCTCGACCTGCTGGAATCCGGTGATCCCTTCCGCCTCAGCCTTCCAAGTAGCTGGAATACAGGTGCACGCTACCACGCCCGGCTAATTTTTGATTTATTGTAGAGATGTCTCACCAAGTTGCCCGGGCGGGTCTCGAACCCGCAGGCTCAGGCAATCCACTCACCTCAGCCTCCCAAGGCGCGGGATTACGGGCTGAGCCACCGAGCCTGGCTTATTCTTCATTCTTTATGCTTGCCAAAACTTTCCAGATTTTATTAATATGTGTGGGAATGCATTATTTGATAAACAAGAAATATCAATTAAATTCTGAGAAATATAAAACAAAAGAGCTTCAATTAAACTTTGTTATACTTAAAACAGTCACTGGCTTATAAAGCTTTTTCCTTTCCCAGGAATATCCTTCTTACTCATTCCTACAATCCCAATTTCTATCTAAACTAGAATTTCATAAACTTTTGTAAGCACTTCCCTTGATTGTGTCTCTTTATCTAGCTTCTCTCCGAGTGTTAGGTGAGTTTCCCTTTTCAGAACACCAGGAATTTAGTTAAAATTAACTATAATAATTTTTTTTTGAGTTGGAATCTCACTCTGTCACCCAGGCTGGAGGGCAGTGGCATGCTCATGGCCACCACAGCCTCGACCTGCTGGGCTCAGTCAATCCTTCCGCCTCAGCCTTCCAAGTAACTGGAATTACAGGCTTATGCCACCATGCCCAGCTAATTTTTCTTGATTTATTATAAAGATGAGGTCTTGCCAAGTTGCCCAGGCTGGTCTTAAACTGTGGTCTCAGGCAGTCCTCTCACTTTGGCCTCCCAAAGTGCTGGGATTATAGGCATGAGCCACGACTCTTGGCTTAAAATTAATTATAATAATATTGAGATATTGAACTGTTACCATTCTTCTTTCATATGAGGACCAACAATTAAGTTTGCAAACTCATCCTAGAAAAAATGCTACATTACTCATTGCTGAATATCACTATGGTCACCTTCAAAGTACTCCCCCTTGGAAAACTATGCACTGATGCCAGCACCTAGTCCACCTGTCAAAGCAATTTTGGAACTATTTTTCTGGAATGGCCATCAGAGCAGTTGTCGTATTACCCTTGATGTTCTGAATGTCATCAAAATGTCTTCTTTTCAATATTTCCTTTATCCTCAAGTAAAGAAAAAAGTCACTGGAGACCAGATCAGGTGAGTAAGGGAGGGTGTTCCAATACAGTTATTTGTGCAGTGCTGCTAATGTAAGCGTATGGTGGCAAGTTCATGAACTTAATTATCAGACCTCAACAAATAATGATGACAGCTCTGATGGACATTCCAGAAAAAAAGTTTCAAAGTTGCTTTGGTGGGTGGACTAGGCACTGGTGTTGGTGCATAGCTTCCCAAAGAGAGTACTTCAAAGGTGATAATGATATTTAGCCATGAGGTATGTAGCATTTTTTCTAGGATGGTTTGTGAACCTGATTGTTGGACTTCATATAAAGAGAAGGCAGTGTGATAATTTGAAAAAGCATGGGACTTTGCAGTTACCTAGGAAGAAGAACTGGATTCTAAACCTGGTTCTGCCACTTACTACTGTGTTTTAAATAAATCCATTTACTCTCTCTGTAAAATATTTTTTCATCTGAAGAATGAAGGTAATAATACCTAAATTACAGGATTATTGTAAGGATTAGTTATTTTGATTAGATGTTAGTCACTTAATATAGTGCATGAACTCTGTGACAGCTTTGAATAGGTAGAATAGAGAAGTCTGCAGTCTCAGCTGAGTAGACCTAAGGATGGACATTTTACCCAAATTAGGACAATTAAATTCTCTCTCCTGAGAATTGTCCTCTGCATATGTTTGCATGCACCTCCCTTACCCCCAAAACATATACCTGTTCTGGAAAATGCAGGTACACAAAAACCCAGTTTGCTCCAAAGGGAACCAGACGAAAGAATGATTATTGGGTCAGGCTCCTGCAGAAACATGATTACATAGTTTAAAATAAAATTACACAGGCTGGCATAGTGGCTCACGCCTGTAATCCCAGCAGTTTGGGAGACCAAGGTGGGAGGATTACTTGAGCCCAGGAGTTCAATACCAGCCTAGGCACTATAGCAAGACCTTGTCTCTACAAAAATAAAAATAAAAAATAAACTGGGTGTGGTGGTGTGCCTGTAGTCCCAGATTCTTGGGAGACTGAGGAGGAAAGATTGCCCACGCCCAGGAGGTTGAGGCTGCAGTGAGCCATGATTGTGCCACTGCTCTCCAGCCTGGACAACTGAGTGAGACCCTGATTCAAAAATAAAATAAAATAAAATTACACAAAGGTATTTTTTTTACCCAGGAGAGCAATAGCAGTAGCTCTCTTAGGTAAAATTTCCAAATCCAAGATGCTCCGAAATCCTGTACTTGCAGACTCAGTCTTACTGGCCTCACCCTGATCCTGGCCTTCTTGGATCCTGTCTTTATTTACATTTTCTTTTCTTCTTTTTTTTTAATTGAGAGGACAGAAAAACTCCCACAGTGGGGAGGGGGTTGCCTATTTATGTTTTCATCATGGTTTTTGGCATTATTATTATTATTTGAGTTGGAGGTTCACTCTGTTGCCCAGGCTGGAGTGCAGGGGCACGCTCACGGTCACCCCAGCGGTGATTATTTTTAAAAATATTGCCCTGAAATATTTACCCTGATCATGGAGCTTTCAGCAATCCCTAAGATTCTGCACCCAGTGGAGTGCCTCCCTTGCCCCTAGCCTAGGCCTGGCCCTGAGGGACAGCCTCCCCAGATCCCCAAATTTCTTCTGTTCCCTTGAATGTTGTTATGGAGACTTAGAGAAAGAGTAGCGTCGAGGTGCTGTCTTGCAAGAGAAATTGTGGAGGAGAGTATGTGAACCCTCAAACCGGAGTTGCGTGACCTCCTTTCCATCATGATTGGAATGTGCTTTATGTCTCCTCCCATTGCCAAGCAGATTTATTTTCATATTTCTCCTTTTTATAAGCTAATTGCTGTTCTTTGAGCACATACTAGTTTAGTGAGGTGGGAGAAGGATGGTTGGGGCAGGAAACTAGTTTTTTGTTTGTTTGTTTGCTTGTTTGTTTTTTGAGGTGGATTCTTACTGTCACCCAGAATGCAGTGCAATGGCATGATGATGGCTCACTGCAGCCTTGACCTCTTGGGCAGGGACTACAGGAATGTGCCACCACACCTGAATACTTTTTTTTCCTGATATTTTGGAGAGACAAGGTCTCTCTATGTTGCCTAGACACTAGTCATACTGGATTGGCATCCATTCTAGTGACCTCTCTTTAACTTGACCACCTCTGTAAAGACCCTACTTTTAAATGAGGTCACATTCTTAGGTACTGGAGATTAGACTTCAGCATGCATTTTGGTGGGGGTGGAGTGGGGAGAACACAGTTCAACCTGTCACACTGCATCTGTTCAGCCTTCAGTGTTTTTCATCTATGTTATCTCTTCAGTCTCCTTAGGTGTGTCCCTGCTTTCAGTATTGTTTTATTTCAACACAGCGACACCCTGCTGCCAGAAGATTACATAAAACCTGCTGTGGGCTGGGCACAGTGGCTCATGCCTGTAACTCCAGCACTTGGGGAGGCTGAGGTCAGTGGATTGCCTGAGCCCAGGAGATTGAGACCATCCTGGGCAACACAGCAAGACCTGCTCTCCACAAAAAAATTTTTTTAAATATCATCTGGGTGTGGTGGCGCATGCCTGTGTCCCAACTACTCAAGAGGTTGAGGTTGGATGACCTGCACCCAGAAGGTCAAGGCTGCAGTGAACCACGAGGGATCATGCTACTGCACTCCAACCTGGGCCACAGTATAACCCTGACTCAAAATCAATAAAAACAAAACAAGGTCAAGTGCGGTGGCTCAAGCCTGTAATCCCAGCACTTTGGGAAGCCAAGGTGAGAGGATTGCCTGAGTTCAGTGTTTCAAGACCACCCCAGGCAATTTGGTGAGACCTCATCTCTACAGTAAATCAAAAAATTAACTGGGCGTGGTGGCGTGTGCCTGTAATTCCAGCTACTTGGAAGGCTGAGTAGAGGGATCACCTGAGTCCAGCAGGTCAAGACTGAGGTGGCCATGAGTGTGCTGCTGCACTGCAGCCTGGTCAACAGAGTGAGACTCCAACTCAAAAAATAAAAATTAAAAAAAAACCCTGCTGTGGCTGTTGGGATGAACCAAGCTCCTTGCCATGCCTATAGCAGATCCTCTCTGTTCTGGCTTCTGCCATCTTTCCCAGTCTTATTTCTTGCCACTCACATGGCATTGCTGCAGGCATCATGGCCTTATGTCATGATTCCCCTGCCTTTGGGCTTGGCTATATGAGGTTTCTCCTCTCTGCAATGGTCTCGTTCCCCACCCTCTCTGACTGCATGACTCATACGACATCTTCAGACCAGCTTCAGTTTTAGCATTACCTCCTCTGATCGACCTTCCCGAAGTCTGGGTTTTTGTGCCTCTCCTTCATGACGCGGGTCTCCTCAAGTTTCCTCTGCCACTCCCCTGTTTGTCATTCTATGTATTTATGAGTTTAACCCCCCTACAAGGTCCAGATCACCAGGCCCTTTAGTTCAGTTCCTTCTTATGAAATACACTCAATACATATTGACTGAACACATGAATGAGTGAAGGAATGAGTCCTTGTTTAGAAAATTGCTGTGTCAGAGTGAGTAAGCTACATGGTGGTAGCAATAAGTCTTACAAGGGAGAGGCAAAATAAGGGGTGTGGTAATCAGGCTGCTTAAAATTCTCACCAGAGAAGATAACCTGCATTCAGCTGCTGTTGCTGCTCCCAGGAAAGTTCTGCTCCTCTCCCAGCTCTTTCTTTTCCCAGTGACATGGCCAACAAGAAAGTAATTACAGTGTTCGGAGCAACAGGTAAAAAGTCCTTACTTTTTAAGGGCACACTGACTTTACTCACTCTCCTGTCTTCCTGTTTTCAACTTCAAAGCCTGCCAGTATGGGCTGAACACAGAACCCTTTGGAGGTGTTTTTGCTTCTGTTTTTTTTTTGGAGTCTCACTCTGTCGCCCAGACTGGAGTGCAGTGGCCGTTCCCAGCCACTACACCCTCGACCTGCTGGGCTCCAATAATCCTTCTGCCTGAGCCTTCCAAGTAGCTGGAACTACAGGCGCACGCTACCACACCCGGCTAATTTTTTGATTTATTGTAGAGATGAGGGCTCGCCAAGTTGCCCAGGCGGGTCTCGAACCTGTGGGCTCATGCAATCCACTCACCTCAGCCTCCCAAGGCGCGGGATTACAGGCTGAGCCACTGAACCTGGCTGCTTCTGTTTTTCATGTGCTAAAGGGGTAGCGTGATTTGACTTGATTTGTCAAAAATGATCTCTGTGGGACAAGGAGAACTGACATATTCTCTCTTTCTCTTTTTTCTTTTACTTACAATTTTTCTCAGTCATGGTTGAGAGACTTGGTGTAAGTTTCATTTCAGCATAAGTTATACTCTGGAGTCTTCTCCACTTCCTGATGTGAAAGGCCTGTGAGTTTGTAGGGTTTATTCGCTACCTGACCTAACCTCCAGTGATTCTGGAAGCATGGAGTGTGTGGGGGTTAGGAGGATGTGCCCAGGGACCTCTGTCACCTTGCTGACTGCCTGAGCCTCTTCATGGGCCTCCCTGATTCCGCTCCTGCCTCCCTTACAGCCCTTTCCTTGACAGAGCCATGGGTGCAAAATGTAAATCAAATCAGGCCATTCTTCAATCTGATATCATTTCATTCTCTGCAACTGTCAGATCATGTCAGGCCTCTGCTCAAAACCCTTTAGCAACTCACAGGCATGTCTCACTCCAACTAAAATGCCAAGTCCTGCTAATGGCCGGCGAGAGCCTTGCCAGACCTCGCCTCCTCCACTCTTGCTTGCTTATTCTGCTTCAGATACATTGGCCTCCTTGCTGTTTCTCCAAGATACTCCCACCCAGAGTCTCTGCACTGACTGCGCTCTCAGCCTGGAATGATCTTTGCCCAATTACTCACACTGCTTTCTTCCTCACGCCATTCAGTTCTCTGCTCAGATGTCACCTTCTTCCTGAGGACTTTCAAGACCACCATATTTAGAAATAGAACTCTGCTTCCACCCTGCCCTTGTCTGGCTTCCTTCCCTGCTTGATTTCTTCTATTGCTGTCTGTCTCTCTAGACCAGAATGTAAGCTCTATGAGAACAGGAAATTTGTCTGGAGGGAGGCAAGGACTAAAGAAGGGAGCAAAGTAAAATAAATTAGCAAAAACCAACAGCCAACTATGATATTACTCTTTTTAATTTTATTATTTATTTATTTTTGTGTTGGAGTCTCACTCCCTCACCCAGGTTGGAGTGCAGTGGCACTCACGCTCACGGCCAACCCAGCATCGACCTGCTGGGCTCTGGCAATCCTTTTACCTCAGCCTTCCGAGTAGCCGGAACTACAGGCATGCGCTACCATGCCCGGCTAGTTTTTATTCTATTGTAGAGACGAGGTCTCGCCAAGTTGCCTGGGCTGGTCTCGAACCTGCAGGCTCAGGCAATCCACTTGTCTCAGCCTCCTAAAGTGCTGGGATTACAGGCTGAGCCACCAAGCCTGTCCGATATTAATCTTTTTAAAGACATTTATGGGTCGGGGTCTCACTCTGTCAGCTAGGCTTGAGTGCAGTGGTACCATCATGGCTCACTTTAGCCTAGACCTCCTGGGTTTAGGCGATCCTTCTGCCTCAGCCTTCTGAGTAGCTTGGACTACATGCATGAGCCACCATGCCAGGCCAATTAATTTTTTGTAGAGATGGGGTCTTGCTATGTTGCCTAGGCTGGTCTTGAATTAGCAATCCTCCTGCCTTGGCCTCCTAAAGTGCTGGGATTACAGGTAAGAGTCACCACATCCAGCAGTATTAATCCTAAAAGGAAAAGGAAAGGTAATGGGTAAAAGAATTACTATATTAGGCATTAGGGTGATGATAAGGATATTTGTTTTTCGTGAAAGAGATGTCATTGAAGGATTTGGTTTTTTTGTTTGTTTGTTTATTCTTTGTTTTAGAGGCAGGGTCTCGCTGTGTTGCCCAGGCTGGAACTAGTCACAGGAGCTGTCATAGCTCATTGCAGCCTCACACTCCTGGGTTTACATGATCCTCTTGCCTTAGCCTCCCGAGTTACAAGGACTACAGGTGTGCACCACTACATCTGGCAGTGAAGAGTTTGAGCAGAGAAATGACATGATTTTAGCTTTAGAAGGATCATTTTAGCTTCTGTTTTGTGAAGAATAAATGACCCTTGTAGGGGGCAAGGATTGAAGCAGGGAGACATGTTAAGAGGTTATCATAAGCCAGGTGAGGTGATAGTGGCTTAGACCATGGTGGTAGCAATGAGGTGGTGGGGAGTGGACAGACTCTTTAGAAGTTTTTTTTTTTTTTTTTGAGTAGGAGTCTCAGTCTGTTGCCCAGGCTGCAGTGCAGTGGCACGCTCACGGCCACCGCAGCCTTGGCCTGCTGGTCTCAGGTGATCCTTCCACCTCAGCCTTCTAAGGAGCTGGAACTACAGGCACACGCTACCACACCCAGCTTATTTTTTGATTTATTGTAGTGACGAGGGCTCACCACATTGCCCAGGCTGGTCTTGAACCCCTGGGCTCAGGCAATCCTCCTGCCTCCGCCTCTCAAAATACTGGAGTTACAGGCTCGAGCCACTGTGCCCGGCTCTGCAGAAGTTTTAAAGGTAGAGTTGGCAGGCATCGTTGATGGACCAGATAGCAGCAATAAGAAGGGAGGAACTGAAAATGACTTTGAAGTTTTCTCACTTGAGCAACTGGAAGAATAAATTTGAGATTCACTGACATGAGAGAGACAATGTGGGAGGAGCGGGTTAAGGAAGGCTGGGAGCTCCATTTTGGTCTTGTTAAACTTGATTTGCCAACCAGGCACCCAGGGAGTGGGTAGGTGATTGGATTAAAGGCCCTTGGGAGTGGCTCCTAAAGGAATCAGGTGAGATGTGTCAGAACTGAGGAAGTCTGATTACTAGTTAGCTTAGATGGTGGGCTAACTGGCTATTAGTTTTGTTTGTTTGCTTTTTGAGTTGGTGTCTCACTCTGTTGTCCAGGCTGTCATGCAGTGGAACGCTTATGGCTTATTGCAGCCTTGACCTCCTGGACTTAGGTGATCCTTCCTCCTCAGCCTCCTGAGTAGCTACAGGAATGCATCACCAAACCTGGCTAATGTTTTGATTTTTTATAGAGATGAGGTCTTACTATGTTGCCTGGGCTGTTCTCCAACTTCTGGGCTCAAGCAATCCTCCCACTATGGCCTTTTTTTTTTGAGTTGGAGTCTCACTCTGTCGCCCAGGCTGGCACGCTCCTGGCCACTGCAGCATCAACCTGCTGGGCTCTGGTGATCCTTCTGCCTCAGCCTTCCAAGTAGCTGGAACTACAGGCGCGTGCCACTATGCCCGGCTAATTTTGATTTATTGTAGAGATGAGGTCTCGCCAAGTTGCCCAGGCGGGTCTCAAACCCGCGGGCTCAGGCAATCCACTCACCTCAGTCTCCCAAAGTGCGGGATTACAGGCTGAGCCACCGAGCCCGGCTCCACTGTGGCCTTTTTAAGTGCTGGGATTACAAGTGTGAGCCAATGTGCCTGGCCGCATTCCTGTCCCAAGTTCAGTAACCTTGGAGAACTAGGTATGTTTGGGTGTTTGACGTAGGGGTGCCATGCCAGATTTAGCAGATCAAAATACAAGATGCCCAGTTACATATGAATTTCAGACAAACAATGAATACTTTTTTAAAGAATAGGAATGTCCCCAATATTTTATGGGGGCATACTTATACTAACAATGATTTGCTATTCATCTGAAATTTAAACTTAACCAGGGAGCCTGTTTTATTTTCCAGCTCTAGTGTAAGATCCTTCTGTGACATTTTGGGAGTGGCTAGGTCTGTGACTGATGCTATTGTTGATTTCTGGAAGACTAGAAACTCTCAAAGCCCTGGTGCAGGCTTAGGAAGCCATGCTTTCTGGTTTTCTCACTCACACCTCTGCCCAAATCTACAAGCCATGCTGGAATAATAAGAGTTCTTGGTAGGTACCAGGCCCCATCCTACTTGCTTTACACAAAGAGCCTCCCTATGGGAGGAGGGAAGGCATTATTGCCTTCACTTTACAGATGAGAACAAGTTTATCCAAGGTCATGCAACTAGTAAGAGGCAGAACTTCCTGATAGAGAAGACAGTGGGCTTCCAATCAAACAGGATTGGTTTGCTCCTCTCTGCCACTTGATAGCTGTGTTACCTTAGGCAAGTTACTTACTCTGAGCCTCAGTTTCCTATTTATAAGTTGCAAATTATAATATTATCTTAAAGGGTTATTGTGAGAATTGAGATAATGCATGTAAAGTGTCCTGTCCGATGCCCAATCGTTGGTAAAATCTCAAAAACAAAATTGGAATAGATCCATCTTTAAAGCATATATTTGATGAAATCATTTCTTTCCATGGTCTTTGAGAACCAACAAAATGGAAATGAAGTCTGGGAAAAGAAAAATGGAAGAACTCATTCCATGCACATTGAGCCTCTGCCAGATCTGAAAATTGTGTAAAAGAAAAATAATAACATAAAACAAATAAAAAATTAAAAATGAAATAATAAGAAAAAGTCATCTTCCAAGAGGAAGTGACATTAGAGATGCAAGGATACTGAGCAAGGTGGAAGCTGGGAACCTGGCTGCCTGTTCTCCCTTTTGTGGGCCCCGTCTTTAGATACTTCCTGCTGAGGAAAGCCATATGCATTTATGCACGAACATCTGGAAAGTCCACATTTTGCAGACATTGGGACATGTGTTAACCCTTGACTGGGTATGTGCTTGCACATCAAAATCTGAGCAGTCCTCCGGTGCCTGCCAGTCAAG